GCTGGTGAATATGATCTAGTATTCTGTTATGATCTAGTCATTCAACATAAAGGTAAGACAAGAAGTTACATGTGTTGACCATCATTTGTCTAATCCCTTAGATGAGCATTCTGGTCCAAGTCCTCCTGATGACACTCTAGTAGGCTCAAAACTTACCTGGATCAAAGTGTTTCTATTGCTTTGAAAGCAGAAAAAGGAAGTTCAGAACAGAACACAAAAGGGTGAAGAGTGCATCCATAAATTTCTTAGCAGGACCATGAAAAGAAATGTGCAGTAGGCAGATAGATTCCTTGGCCATAAACAATGCAAAGGGAACATGGACTCTATGAGCTTCACTAAAGGTAAAGCCTAGCCATATAGATACACAATCAGAAACTCCCAGGAAGAAGGAATAAAGATTCGATCTTCTGATGTATGCATTAGCCTTTTCCAGAGAAAGTTGACCTAAGATATGCAGCTGCAGCTATGAGAATAGCATAGCTGGAGTTGATATAACTTAAGTTGAATTTCTGCGGCATACCCACTGCAAGAGGTCAACAGGAGAAAATTTCCCATCAATTTTCCTTACTTCTTGTGACCTGGTGGAGTACTGTATCAACAGTACCATTAACGGTTGATTTAGCAGGCCCTTACTAGATCACTAAATCAAACCCTGGGAGATTGATCTCCAAAGCATTGATCTTGGGCTATGTGAAGACAAGCCCTTAGACTTTGCATAGGGGACCAAAATTGAACCCTCTGTTTATAAATATGGTCCATTAAATGGGTCACCACCCTTGCAATCACAAATCCACTAGCTGTACCCTTCCACTAGGTCCCTTCTGCAGGTTCTCTGAAACTAAACACCTTTCCCAAGTTCGCAGCTTTTGCTGCTTTTTTGACTCAATGGCTGCCTCTAGATTGGCATGATTTTCCGGAAATGCTTTTAACGGAAAAGTTTTCTGTTAAAAGCATTTTTGGAAAAGAGTGTCTAGATTGGCATGGACGCTTTTCTACAAAAGCACTTTTTGCGGAAAAGCGTCTGTGCCAATCTAGACGCGCTTTTCCACAAAAAAGCCCTGATTGCCATTTTCGCAATCGGGGCTTTTTTGCGGAAAACAAATCTGAGCTGTCTACACTGGCCCTTTTGCGCAAAAGCTTTGCAGGGTGAATAGTATTTCCGCAAGAAGCACTGATTTCTTACAGTAGGAAGTCAGTGCTTTTGCGGAAATTCAAGTGGCCAGTGTAGACAGCTGGCAAGTTTTTCCAGAAAAGAGGCTGATTTTCCGGAAAAACTGGCCAGTCTAGACACAGCTAATGTGTCCCATGTAGAAGAGTTAGGAAGTGGCATAAGGAGAAAGGGTTTGGCTCTTTAGTACATATATTTGCAATATAAAGCCATTCTAATACACTAAATAATTAAACAAATAAGATATTGAGCTTAAAAGAATTTAACCTATCTTCTAAGAGCATGTTAAAGAATTTTTAAAATTAAAATGTGTTAAATCCAGTTTCCTCTCTCTTAAACATCTCAGTACAGGCAGTCCCCGACTTACGCGGATCCGACTTATGTCGGATCCGCAGTTACGAACGGGGCTGCCCCAGAGTACACGGACTGCGGGACCTCGCGGTCCTGCCGCCCGTGTACTCTGGGGCTTTCTCTGTGTCTCCCTGGTTTGCAGACCAGGAAGACGCAGAGCAAAGCCGCGGAGGGGCTCGGGCAGCCCAGGGGCGCCTGGGCTGCCCGAGGCCCCCCCCTCCCCACGGCTTTGCAAAGCTGCGGGGGGGGCTCGGGCAGCGAGGCACCCCAGGCGCGCTTGGACTGTCCCGCTGCCGGCTTTTCCCCCCCCTCGCCCAACCGCCCGGGGGGGGG